GGAGGGGGAGCGGCGCGGGCTCTGGTCGACAGCGCCCGCGCGCTGTGCTCCAGACGCGAACGGACCGCGCGCTGTTGGGGTTGTTCGCTTCCGAGTGCAGTGCGTCGCTCCGAGAGCAATGTTGGCAGCGCTGGGCGCGTTGGCGCGTGCGCCGCTGGCGTTGGCGCTGTCGCTGGCGCCGTTGGCCCTACTCGCCCTGGTGGCCCTGGCGCCCTTTCGCCGTCGCCTCTACGTCATCCTCGTCACCCTGCCCCGCGACCTCAAGTGAGTGCGCCCTATGCGATGTAGCTCGCTGGCGAGGGGGTGGACAGGGTCGAGAAACGCGGGGTTAAACGGATCATAATCCGTTTGCGGAGTTCACGTATGGGTATTCCTAGGGCAGAATGGCAATCCGTTTCGGGTAATAAATCATTGGTGGATGGTCATCCAAGCAAATGATCTGGCTCTGTCAAGATACTTGGCGGCACAGTGGTAGAAATCCGCACATCAGCGAAGAATATTTATTTCCAAATTCCGATGTTTGTTTATGTGATTGTCTGTGTGTGTGAGAACGTGTCTGTATGTGTAAGAACGTGTGTGTATGTGTGAGAACGTGTGTGTATGTGTGAGAACGTGTGTGTATGTGTGAGAACGTGTGTGTGTGAGAGAGAGAGAACGTGTGTCAGAGAGGGAAGATGTATGCCAGGATTCTTCTTAGTCTTTTTCTTGGCTATTTTGTTCAAAAGACTTTTGGATATTTCACGGCGCAGCTTGGGTGTAGTGAAGTTGCGGTGTAGGGTCCAAAGCTGCTTCTTGAATATTTTGTATTATATACTCAGTCGCTTCGTCTATGTGATAGTGATTTTAGTGGTAATCGATGTTTGTTTTCATTAGATTATCTGTTTTCTATTTAAGTTCCAATTTGTCTTTTCGTTCGTTAGTGACGCGGGAGAGGATTGGTAGCAATAAATTTTGTGTAGCCGACTTGATATTATTGAAGTGTGGTCTGAGTAAGTTCGTGGGAAGCTTCTATGATACAGTTGTGGATGGGAATTCCTTTTGTATGAATATATCAAATTACATCTGTAGTTTTGGTTAGTCGGTAGGCCAGTAGGTTGGTTCTCCTGTAGAAATGGTTTCTAGCTGAAGTGAAGTAATGCTTTTTTTCAGCAAGTTCTCTCTCTGGGGTGATGAGGCCTGGATCCCCATTGCGTGTGTTTGGCATTGTAGTCTCCTCCACCATGTACCTCTATTTCCCTAGAGACTTAAAATAGGTTTCATAATCAATTTTTGTTGTCTTTTTGAATCTTGGAGGGCAGTAAATGGCACTGATGGTAATTGTGTTCCACTCGGTCCATAATTTGTACAGTCGTTGCTTGTAAATCTGTTCCTGTACAGCTTCCTGTTCTTGATGTTAATAGTGTGATTTTTATTAATATTGCTGTTTTGCCATCAGGGCATTGCCATTAGCGATTGTGCTTTAGTAGTTCGTGTAGAAGTGTAGTTTTTCAAGTTCTGTAAGTAGGCTTCTTTCTGGTGAAGTGGAAGTCGAGAGCAGTGAGGTAGCAATGGTCGTAATTTTCGTTGTTCGTTGAGAAAATATTTCGGATTCTCTTGGCGTATGATTTTGTCAAGCCCGTTTGTCGATTCCAAGCATGCACATGCGGATAAGGAATTTAGGCATTATGATAGTCTTGGAGGACAAGCGACGTTATGAGGTTGAATTAGAGAGGTTGTATTCGTTGACTTTGCTGGACTCATAGTAATGTTTCAAATGCTCTCAAAGGAGTTGCTGGTATAATTTTTTATAATGGAAATGGAGTTATCGCGTGTTGTGTTGATGTCTTTCTACAGGCTTTATGTCGCGCAACATCGGCCCATGTTCTGTATTTCATGTCTACTTCTTTGAGTTTTCGATGAGAGATAAGTGAGTTTCACCCATGTCCCCTGCTTTGTGTGTCTTGCACATGCATCTCTTGTTGAAACTTCGTGTATTTATCTTGAGTTGTTGTGCCCTTTTCTTTTTAGTAATTCTTGTATACTTCGGCATACCTTTGTAGTTGGCAGATGATGCCTTCAACACAGGAGCACAAGTGCGTTTGCTTTTTCTTTTCTTTTAAACACTTATCCTGGGTCGTGTTCTTTTCACATTAACACACCTATTACGCGGGTATGCACAAGTACGACCTGGTAGTTAATATCTCTGACAGTTTTGCATTGTACTATCTCGCGTTTCAGGCTGGGTGGTTCGAAAGCCAACAACACAATTTAACAGTTGGTAATTTTGAACACTTCTTGTTGTTAGGTTGTGAGCTCAAAGGTCAAACTAAAAATAGAGGCAGAGGTAGATTTAGTTAGTCTATTGGCGGACATTTTAAGTTTCCAACTTTGTGGTCCTTTTCCAGAAGCAAAGCCTTGATGATCTTTTTACATCTTAGCCGTATGATGTTTTTGTGTGTCGCAAGACAACTCTATAACGGCACGTTTCTTGTTCAACATCGGTATGTATAGTTACGGACTTCTTTGGTTGATAAACGTTTTATTATTCCCTGGAGCCCGTTGCTTTGGAGTTTTTCGGCGTTATTTAACTTTGTCTCTTTGCCAGAGAATTTTATTTCGAAATCTTCTGCTCTTTAAGGCTTTCTTTAAAAAAAACTTGATCATGCTCAGAACATTATTACATTTTGGTACGAAAATTGGCCTCATGTACAGTGGGTTTTTGGAAAGTTTCCTCATTGGTTTTCTGTTGTGCCTTCAGTATACAAGAGCATGAATGTGATTCTTGGTGGAACGTGTATATGCACTAGTCATTATAAGCGCAAGACGGCTGTCTTTTGCTCACCATTCATTAGCATCAGGGTTCGAAGACGTCAGGTTCGGTCTTTTTGACCAGAGCTGGTGTGTATATTTGCCGTAAGCAGTTGCTGTCAGGTTAACGAGGAGCAGATGAATCATGATCATGCGCGTTGCCTGTTCGCTGCCTGTTGATTCTTCGGATGACATTCTTGAAAGTAAACAGCTTCTCGGGATTTCAATGCCAATGCACTACATGCTACTGATTCCTACCCGAAAGGTTCTTCGGTAATCGATGAAGTTTAGATTAGGTCTGCTATTTGTTAGGTTGGATTGGTTGGGATTCTGGATAGAAGAGGATGAAACACGTTATGCTTACAACTGTAACGTTTCACTGTAGAGCCTAGTGCGCAACTGGTTATTATCGCTAGAACTTTTTCCTTATTTCCCCACCTGTGCGGCAGCGAGCAG